CTCCTCCTGTCCCAGGCACTCACTACATGACTCTGCGTCCCTCTACTGCTCCTCAGCGTGTCCCTCTACCGTCTCCTCCTGCGTCCTCTTTGCCTGACGTTCCGGACCCTGAGTCTGACCGGTATCGTGCTGAGCACCCTACTGTCACGCGTTTCCTTGCTACTGTTGTCACTGACCCTACCTTTGAGTCCTCTGCTGCGTCTGCTCTGGTCGCTGAGTTGGTTGACTTTGCTGCTGCCTGTCGTCTAGACTACGCTGCTAGCCTTGTTGCTGAGTCTGAGTCTGAGTCTGTCTGTCCTCCGTCCGTCGGGGGTGAGTGTGCTCTTGGCACGGACGTCCTTGAGGACAGACAGGAGGAGTTCCAGTGTCTTGCTGCTGCTTTGCCCCGTCTCGTGTCCCTGCTAGTTGCCCCTGAGGGAGACCCGGATGCACCAGACATCCCGACCCCGCGCACTTACGCTGAGGCGATGGCGGGTCCCTACTCCTCTCAGTGGTAGACAGCCATGGACGCCGAGATGGCTTCCTGGAAGTCCACACGCACCTACGTCGACGAGGTTCCCCCTCCTGGGGCGAACATCGTCAGTGGCATGTGGATTTTCAGGGTGAAGCGGCCGCCGGGTTCTCCGCCTGTCTTCAAGGCGCGTTACGTGGCTCGAGGCTTCAGTCAGCGAGAGGGAGTTGACTTCTTCCAGACCTTCTCCCCCACCCCGAAGATGACCACTCTTCGGGTGCTGCTGCACATAGCCGCTCACCGCGACTACGAGCTTCACTCACTTGACTTCAGCACTGCTTTCTTGCAGGGCAGCCTGCACGAGGAGATCTGGCTGCACCGCCCACCTGGCTTCACTGGGTCGTTTCCTCCTGGTACCCAGTGGAGGCTTCAGCGGCCGGTCTACGGTCTCCGCCAGGCTCCGCGTGAGTGGCACGACATACTGAGGACTACACTTGCGGCTCTTGGGTTCGCGCCTTCTACAGCTGACCCGTCGCTGTTCCTGCGCACCGACACTTCGCTGCCGCCGTTCTACATCCTCGTGTACGTCGACGACTTGGTCTTTGCCACTGCTGACACTGCAGGACTCGCCCACGTGAAGTCGGAGCTGCAGAGGAGACACACGTGCACAGACCTGGGTGAGCTGACAAGCTATCTTGGCTTGCGGATCACCCGGGACAGAGCACGGCGCACCATCACCCTGACTCAGTCACACATGGTGCAGCAGGTTCTCCAGCGCTTCCGCTTCACGTACTCCTCGCCTCAGTCCACTCCTCTGCCTACCGGTCACTCGCTCTCAGCTCTGCCTTCGGATGAGTCCGTAGAGCCGAGTGGCCCGTATCCAGAGCTTGTGGGCTGCCTCATGTACCTGATGACCTGCACTCGACCTGACCTTGCATACCCTCTTAGCATCCTTGCACGCTATGTCGCTCCTGGCCGTCACAGGAAGGAGCACATGGATGCCGCTAAGAGGGTGTTGCGCTACTTGTGCAGTACGTCGGGCATGGGGCTTGTGCTTGGAGGGCGAGACCGAGTTGTTCTCACAGGGCACTCAGACGCTTCTTGGGCAGACGACCAGGCCACTCAGCGGTCGTCTCAGGGTTACACCTTCAGCCTTGGCTCTGGTTCAGTTTCTTGGCGCTCTACACGCTCTTCTTCTGTTCTCGGCTCCAGTTGCGAGGCTGAGATCTACGCTACAGCCATGGCTGCCCAGGAGCTACGCTGGCTGACCTACCTGCTGACCGACCTCGGAGAGCGGCCTCGTTCTCCTCCAGTACTGTACGTCGACAACAAGGCTGCCATTGCCTTGTGTGAGGAGCACAGACTGGAGCACAGAACGAAGCACATCGCCCTGCGGTACTTCCTTGCTCGTGAGCTGCAGCAGCGCGGTCAGCTTTGTATTCGCTACGTGGCCACTGAGGCCAACACTGCTGATGTGTTCACCAAGGCACTTCAGCCTCGTGACCATCAGCGCTTCTGCACTCTACTAGGCCTTGTGCCTACTGGACCTCACTTACTTACCTCTTGACTTTGCTTGTACTGTGATCACTATATATATCTATACCTGCATGTTTACTCTTGCTAGGTTGTGATCACTGTATCTCTTGCTCTGTTATAAACCTGCATGTGAACTGGTCTTGTGACCACTAGCTTGTGCTCGGAATTTGTGTGGAATCCTTGAGATCCACCCTGAGCTTGTTGTTGCCTTGCTTTGCCTTGACTGGTCTTGTGACCCCTAGGTCTCCCCCACTTTGCCTATGGGGGTGTGTCAAACATTATACATGTTGTATTTGTGTAGGCTGTAGTGGGTTAGCCTATAGGGGGGTCACAACATTAGGGTTTCATATTTGTACTCACAATCCTTGCTAGTTCATCATTCCAGTCCGTTATTACTGACACTGTTTCCCCTGCTTCTTCTACCCCTTCGTGGCTTCCCAAGCTCCTACCGCAAGCAGGTTAAGGGGTTGTGACTTGCTCTAGATATGTGCTGCAGGCAGTTAAGGGGTGTGTCACGACATATATTTACATATGTCTATGACTGCCTGTAGCTTTAGCTTTAGTGTAGTTATACCAACATGGTTGGTGGTGCACCTCTTGTTTGTTTGCTATATGTACCTTTGGTCATTTTATGAACACAACGGATTCTTGCTTCCCTTGGCCACGATTCTCCCGACATACGTTGGCCTAGGCCTCCTAAGCCTAGGCATTACATTAGTACTTTGACACGTGGGGAGCGCAACGAGGGGCAGGGCACGGCGTACGCGGGCAGCGCAACGCGGGGCAGGGCAGGGCGTGCGCGGGGCAGCGCAACGCGGGCTGCCGAGGTGGTGCGCGAGCAGCGAGGGCGGCGCACGGGGCAGCAGCAGGCAGCACGAAGGCTGCAGGACGGCGCGTGCAGCGCAGCACGTCACGGAGGGTAGGCAGGGCGCGCGCAGGCGGTGCAGCGCAGGCAATGCAGGGCGCGCGCAGGCGGCGCAGCGCATCGAAGACATGGGGTAGCTCAGTAACCGCGACGGTAGGTGGGCCCGGAAGAAAAAAAAACGATCCTACGGACCTACTGCTCCGAAGCATATCAGAAACTGCTACCAGGAATAAATTAATTAGGTCACAGTTTGGTACAATCATAAAACCCTAAAGGGGCTATACCCCATATTGGCTACCCTACTACAGCCTACAGCCGACACATATATAACACAGACATAATTTGACCAAGTTTTCATATCGTAACAGTATTGCGCTTTCTCTTGACTGGTCGTGTAACTATTTGTGGTTCTTGCACTCCATTGCTATTGCTCTCTTATCCTATGGGGTTGTGTCAAAACCATGCATATTCTTGTTAGGCTAAAGTGCGGTTAGCCTTATGGCCTACATCACTCTTAGGGTTGCATATTTGTATCCCTACCCATTCATTGTTTATCATTCCGCTGCTTCTCATTCTCACAACTAGCACCCCTATGATTGTTGAAGCTGCTCATGCATTTATAAACATGGCATATTCCAAAGTGGATGAAAATCTAGGAAGTGAGCATGCGTAATGGTTCTACGATGAAATGACAGTCCATATCAATTCTGAGTGATACTATGTGTGGCTGATGCAGAAATGGATCCGAATGTCTAGACCCTATGCAGAAATGGTCCGATATGTGGTTTGTAGGTTTCTCTCGTGTTTACAGTTCCCAAGGTACCCAAGGTTCCACGAGTTCGTTTTCAGCCCATGATCCACTGATCGGACCGGTGGGTCCGGTTCAAAGCGGTAGATTAGAATGACTGTTAAAAAAACGCAGACCTCCTTCCGCCGCAAATATTGAACCAGATAGAACTCGTGGGATACGCCCTAAAATTGACCGAACATAGAACATCGCAACTCGCATCAAGGACGGCGTCTCAAATTCGTGCAGCATTCCCTATCGTATCGGTCATGAAACCGCGGGATTCGAATGTCAAGGATTCTGGTTTTCCAGTCGTACGGTCTCTCTCACAAAACCGCATAAAAACCGCGCCGTAATGTACTGTACCTCGCCGTTCAACCGAGGCAACTGAGGAAACAACAACCGAGGCAACAAAAGAGGCCAACAACCGAGGCAAAACAGCAGCCGAGGCAACAACCGAGGCAACCGCTCGTCGCATAACAAATGGGACTCTGACAGCAGCCTCACCACACCCAACCGAACCTGAGTTCCCTTCCCCGCTACTGTACTTGGCGAAGGCAGCAAAGGTTGCTGGCCTGGCCTGCTGGGTTCAACCAGCGCGATTCTGAAGGCTGTCATTCGCGGTTGGGCGGGTTTCCGCACGACCTAGCGTGGTTCAGACACCTTCATGGGCTAGGAGCGCCCCCCCGAGCGAACAATACAGTGACGCACGCACTGAAACCAACACGCTGGGGACAACCCCAACATACAATGTTTCACAAAATTTTAGAACCGTGCTGAAACGTAGAAACATCTTACTGAACTGTAATCAATCGAGGTAACTGAACTGGCTGGAATTTGGCTGGGATTCTGATGGCATATGGGTTGTGAAGAGCTATGGAAAGAGCTAGCACGGCTGCATTCTCACGGAAACTCGTTTTCCATTTAGCTCTGTGAGCAAGCTAGCTTAGAGTTTCACTTCCGTTGACTGACACCTCTCTCCAAGCTCCACCCCGTGGGAGTGGAGCGTGCCGCTCGCAGCGTCATACGCAAGTATCAGTTAGGACGGGCAACAAGGATATCAATAATATATAGAAAAGGAAAACCTGAATTGTTCTGCTGAAAGTCTGCAGGACGAAATGGCGTCCCTCGAAGAACAACCAAAGACGCCGAAGTCCTTCTTCCAACGTCTTTCATCGGTCAAATCCCTAACGTCGCCATCCTTTCTTAAATCAACCTTACCCCACGCGGTCGTTATTGCTGTTACTACGGCGACTATCATTCCCATTTACCTGACGTTCGCGAGTCCCGGGCCGTTGTCGCTAACCTGGAGCAATGGCGGAGGGTCTTTCCAGACACCTGCTCTCGAGTGGACTGGGAAGATGTTTTCCAGTATGAGCGGCTTCGACGCTGCGTTGTGCCGCGCAGATGCAGTTTATTGGGTACATTTGTTTGTTTCTTTTTTTCTTTCTTTCTTTCTCTATTTTTTTCCGTAAAATAATCGTACTGGCTTTTCGTGTTCAGGTGTTCGCTTTTCGTTCCTATGTGTACCGGTCACATTCGGCATTGCGGCCGCATTGCTGTTTAGCATCTTGGCGAAATGAGGACGTTGCTGTCCATGAATTTCGCGCAATGTGGTCATTCGCCTTGGTGAACCCAACATTGGCGATACCCAAACCATGAAGTCAAGGGTTCAAACATCGGGAATCTAAAAAACAGGGATCCAGTGCGCATGATTCCTTGCATCATTTGAGGCGCCGCAAAAGTTGCATGATTCCTTGCTACATTTCTCTCGTTTGAATTCCCCGTGCAGAAGAACCTGCAGCCCAAGACGTGGAATCCCGTGCGAATGAGTGGTTACCCTGTAACATTCCTTCTCGTTTGTCGTCTTCGTGCAGAACAACGTCGTTCGACGGAAGGAGGCGTTGATCGACGCGTTACAGCCCAAGATGTGGAATCCGGTGCGAAAGCGTGGTTACCCTGTAACATTCCTTTCGTTCATTTATCCCGTGCAGAAGAACATCGCTCGCCGGAAGGTGGCCTTGAACGGCGCGCTACAACCCAAGACGTGGAACCCCGTGCGAATGAGTGGTTACCCTGTAACATTCCATTCGTTTATTTATCTCGTGCAGAAGAACATCGCTCGCCGGAAGGTGGCCCTGAACGGCGCGCTACAACCCAAGATGTGGAACCCCGTGCGAATGAAGGAGATGGTGCTCATCCCCACCTACCCGTGCGCTATCAATGAACGCATCGGCAAATGGGGCGACGGCGGAAAGGTATGAGGGGGTTCAGAACGGTGAAGAGGAAGAAGGAAGGGTGGAATAAGGTCCTCGCCCTCCTGCGAATGAAGGAGATGGTGCTCTCCCCCACCTACCCGTGCGCCATCAATGAACGCATCCGGAAATGGGGACACGGAGGAAAGGTAAGAGGGGATGTTAGAAAGGTTAAGAGGAAGAGAGAGGGGTGATGGACGGTTCTCAATTCCGTGCGAATGAAGGAGATGGTGCCCATCCCCTCGTACCTGTGCGCTATCAACTAGCGCATCGGGCAACTGGGGGAATGGAGGAGAGGTGAAAAGGGAGGTCATGAGAGGACGGATTGGCTAAGAGGAAGAGAAAAGTTTGGAATAAGGTTCTCAGTTCCGTGCTCATTCCCACCTAACCGTGTGCATCAACGAGCGCATCCGGAAATGGGGGGGTGGAGGAAAGGTAAGAGGGGAGTTTGGAAAGGTAGGGGAAGAGAGAGGGGATTAGTGCGGTTCTCGCCCTCCTGCGAATGAAGGAGGTGGTGCTCAACCCCACGTATCCGTGCGCTATTAACGAACGCATTGGGAAATGGGGGGACGTCGGGAATGTGAGATAAACAGGGGGGAAGGGAGGGGCGGGTTGGGGAGGTTATGAATGGGCAAGATACATGAGAGAGCTGGTGTTCATCCCAACGTACCCCTCATGACCCCTCTTGACCCCTCATGACCCATCATGATTCCTCTTGACTCCTCATGTCCCATCATGACCCCTCGTGACCTCTTTTTTTCATATCACACCCCTCTCTTCCCCCACGCTCCATGCCCTCTTTTCCTGAGCGCAATGGTCGTGCCTTGTGCCCAACGCCTTGACTCCTCGCTCATGAACCCTCATGAACCCCTCTTGACTCTTCTTTTTGTTACCTCCTGAAGTTACACCATACCCGTCGCTCCATCCCTCCCTTATCTGCTTTCTTGAGTGCAGTGGACGTGCCTTCTGCCCAACGCCATTCAGAAGACCAACCCTGTTGTGTACAGGTGAGGATCAGGGGATGCTGGGGGAGTGAAGGAAATGTGATGGGATGAGGGGAGTGTGGTGGAGTGAGGGGAGTGCGAGGGTGTGTAGGTCCTTTCCCCCCCTTTCGTTTTGGCATTGAAGTCCTCCGCAATCTACAAAGAATCAGCATGCACTTGATATGTTCAATTTTGTCGAGTTACACATAAGATTCAGCCTTGTGGTCCCGTTTACAATTCTTGTTCTCCTCCGGCCCCCCTCGCTCTGTCCACAGTTGGAAGCATTTCAGCATGTACTCGTTCAAGCAACTTCATGTACAAGTTACAAAGCGTCAAGCCATTTCACTCCCCTCTTCTCTCCTCTTTCCCCTCACCCCTCTCCCCTCTCCCCTCTCGACCCTCCGCTCTCCCCTCTCCTTTCTTCCTTCAGCATTGGGAGCTTTGGCATGTACTCGTTTGAGGAGCACATGCACAACATACTAGGCGTGAAGCCCTACACCTTTGACCCCTTTCTCGATCCCGCCAAGCTGGAAATTATGAAGAATGTCACGTGCCTTCACTTCCACGAAATCGGCATGTCTGGGGCCGCATCTCTCGCCGGCTACAAGAAGAACTCTCCTGACAAAAAGTTTTTGACGCTGCCCGAGATGATGAAGGAGTTGGGGCATACTTATGTGGACGTGTTCAAGATTGACTGCGAGGGGTGCGAGGTGGAATTGATCAAGGACCTGGGAGCGGCGTATGAGAATACTGGGAATAAGCTCGCGCTGCATGGAGGGAAGTTGCCCTTTGGACAGATCCTCATCGAGATGCACAAGTGAGTTGCTCTGTGTGGTGTATTGTTGTGATGGGCAAGTATGCGTTTGTGTGGATTTTAGACGGATTTTTATCGAGATGCACGAGGGAGTTTCTGTGATCAGTTTGATCTGCATGAATGGGTTTTTCCGTACTCTAGGAACCGTCCATACGCTCCAGAGGCTTGAATAACGCATGTTCAGCATCAAGTGTACCCTCCTCTTCTTTTCTTCTGATCCCGCCCCCTTTCACCCCCATCCTCCTTTCCCTCCGCCCTCCCCCCCTCCACCCGCCCTTCACCTCCTCTTCCCCGCGCGCTCCTCCTCTCCCACCCCTAAAACTTTTCTCCTTTCGCTTACCAGCATGAACAGTGCCCCTATTTCCCTCGAGACCTTCTACACTCTAGAGAGGCTCGGGTATCGCATGTTCAGCATCGAGTACAACCCCTACTGCCCCCTGTGTGTTGAAATGAGTCTCATTCATGAGAGCCTTGTGAAACCCTCCAGCGAGACTGACTGCCGACCGTTCGTTACTCTTGAAATTGATGAGGATGAGGGGAAGGAGAAGACTGGGGGTGGGGCTGCAGGTGGCAAGTAGAGAGGTGACGTTTTGTGAGTGACAATAATGGGAGTGCTTCAAAAGGAAGGGGGTGATGGTTTGGAGTAGGAGTCAATGGGAATGGAGATTTTGAGAGGAGGCACAGAAATATGTAGCGTTCCCTGCGAACTGCAATTGCCAAATCTGTTGAGCAATGTATGTAAAGGAGCGTTTATGAAAAGATGGATGCTAGAGCTTCTGGTTTACATTCCTGGCTATGTTAGCAAGTTCATAATTGGTGAAGCATCTAGAAATCTCTCATAAGAAAGAAATGTGTTCGATTCGATTGCTATTCTTTTGCCAGATAAATCGATTTCTGTAAGGGCGTATTCGTGGCCTGTGTCAGACATCATGTCAGACCTCAAGTAGAGGCTCGGAAGACACAGAAGTGACCAGCAACGCAAGCAAATCAAGGTTCGGAAGGCGCAAATAGAATATCTTGTGTCTTTCGAAACTCGAGCTTCGTTTCTGACACGAGCCAAGAATTCTCCCTTGTACTGCATGGCGGGTCTTCAAATGCGCGGAAATGTTGCCGCCAAGCCCGCTTTGTCAAAAGCAACTATGGTTTGCTTTGGCTGCCCGTCCGTTCCAACGCACATGCCGCACCAATCCCACCTTGTCCCCTACAACTGACGGTCAACGTGAATTGTGCAGGGAGTTGTCCCCTACAACTGACCGTCCCCTACAGTACACCTGACAGTCCCACCACCACACTTGTCCCCTACATTCTTGTCGCCAATCGATCGTACTGTACAGTCTTGTACAGTACCTGAATGGGCAAGGAGTTGTGAAGAGGGCCTATGTTTTCAAGGAAATTACCCTGTTTTGACTGAAATTATAAGGTTTGTTCAGAAGAAACCTTAACACTAGGTTATTTCTAGGCCAGCCCGTAAAGGTCTGGCTGCTCTACGGCTCAATCCGACCCCTCCGGGATGTTTCGAGGGACCCGGACAAGCAACACCATTCTCCCCAACATGCTTCGCATCCCCCTCCCTCCCCCGTGAAAACTCGTAGGCCACTTTCAGTAAAAATTTATAAGCATCGCTCCTGATTTGGCCTCCAGGTGTTTGATTGCCCAAATAAAAGTTCTCAGTTGTTTCTCGATCATCCCCTGACCCGCGAAATTCTGGTAGGGTGAGAGGGCCAGTGCGTTTGATGCAATTTGACCGAAGTTCGAGCCTTAACCACTCTGCATCGTAGACGAAAATGTTTTAAATGTATTATACCGTCTAGAACCTTTCTGCGAGTTTTAATCAGTGAGGATGTTCGACTCTACCCTGGATCGATTGCACACCGTCCTGTTGCCAGTTTCCTCTCTGACACGACACGAAACAACATTGGGTTGGACCCACTTACAAATTTCCTCCAATCATTTGCTCTCCCTCCCACGCTTCGGCAGCAAATTGTGTCAGAAAAAGACAGGCACCTCCCACTTTCGCGACCTCGCTGCGTAGCGAGAATTTGCTGCACCCCGGTGTACCACTTGCCTTTGTTGGAGCTGCCGTGCCGTCCGAAGTGTGGTTTGTGTTGTGCAAGTGTTGCGGGGTGCAGCAAAATGTCTTGACAAGTGATTCGTTGTCAGGGCTGTCCCAAAAGTCCCCTCTCCCCTCCTAAGGCACCAGCTCATTGAACCGTTTTTGGAAAGGTTGTGACGGATTTTTGTGAGATAGCACGGTTTTGGGTGTGGTGATGTTCCATCTTTTCTGATACCCACTCCACCCGAACCTTAACTTCATTTTCCGCGGTACAGGTTTCTTTCCTGGTTCACAGTGCGGTTCTGGGTTAATAAAGCTCGGTGCTGAAGAGAACTGGAATTTGGTGAACCTCCTACTCAAGTAAAGTGACACATGCATCCGTGACTCAGAACCCTACCTAAACATTTTTGCATCGTAACGAACCACTGCGACGCGCAAAGCATTTCCCACACAGCAAGAAGGTGGACTCTCGCTCATAGTGCACCCCATCCCAAACCCGCTTCGTGGGGAAATGGCGACTGTTCAGCCGTGTTCCTTGCTTTGGAGAAGCAAGCTCCGGTACTTCTTACCACAGTCGCTGACGATAGCACGACTGAGTGAAAAGCGTCTTCATGAGGGATCTGGTTTCGCTTCCAGAGCATTTGCTCTGGGGTGTCGATGACTGATTTCGAAACGGCCTCCCAGCTTGTTTTTCTTTCAAAGCTCTTGCTGCGATTCCCATTCTCGCTTTCATTTCGCTTACACACAGAAAGAAAGGCATACAAGCATTCAGATCAGATTCATAAAAGATGGGTTCCGATGATTTCAAGAAGAACCACTCTTCCCCCATCTCCAAATCATGCATCAAATGCATGACTGCGTACGTCATCGCGTTGAGTGTGCTCGTGGCCCTGATGATCTACTTCCACGTGTCACCATCGCAACCGTCCCCTGGATCATTCAGCTCCGCCGGTCCGTCGTACCTTCCGCCGAATCTCGGCTGGGTCGCGTTTCTATTTCCCAGTGCGAGCAAGATCGACGCGACGATCTGCCGCGCGGAGGCGAATTACTGGGTGCGTACACACGACCAAAAAAACTGAAATTAAACGCTTTCGCGTGTGCCATTTTGGGTCAGAGATTGTTATTATGTATATATATTAGAATCCACGTGTCGTATAGATTGGAATCCATTTGTTTATAGATTAGAATCCACGTGTTGTGAGGCACCTCAGATGATAGTCCCATCCAAGCATCCACATTTGAAGTTCTCGGCCGAAAGGTCCAGATTTATTGTCGCACACGCGCATTTCATCACCGCACCTCGTCCCTTGCTATTTTCGACATCGCATGAGACGGTTGAGCACAGGCGAGAGGTCCTTGAAGGCGCATTCCCCGTCTAAACATCCACGTTTCATCTCCTCATCTCGTTGGTTTGTGCTTTCCACATTGCAGGGGAACGTTGGGCCCAGGCTAGGTTACATAGGAAAACCTCCAAAGACGCGCTACAGCCGAAGCTGGGAAAGCTTACGCGCGTTTTCCGTCCAAACGTCCGCCCTATCTCTCCTCGTATCGGGATTGTGTGTGTTTTTGTGTTTGCTTTCCGCGTTGCAGGAGCATCTTGAGCGCAGAAGCAAGGGAGTTTCAAGGCGAGCTACGGCCAATGCTGGGCAAACCCCCGACTTACCCGCATTTGATACAATCCGCATTTCCCCCCCCCCGCACTGTTCTACATATGCCTATCACTATTCTGGAAAATCTTCAGCGCAGGCGCAGGAATTTGCGGCGCGCCACTTTCGATGCCGAGCAATCCCCATTTTGTCAACATTCTCCGTCCACGCATTGGGATGAATTCCTCTCTCGTATCGGAATTGAATGTTTCAGGAGAACCTTGAGCGTCGGCGCAAGGAGTTCAACGGCGCGCTACAGCCATTTTCCGTTCGAGCATTTACATTTCCTTTATTTTTCGGGTATCAATTATTTCTGAACGGTACATTTCCACGTGGCAGGAGAACCTCGAGCGCCGGCGCCAAAAGTTGAAGGCGCAGTAGAGCCGATGGCAGGCGGTCCCTTATCCATTCCCCGTAACGAAACTGACATTGAGCGCATCCACGTGCTTCCCACGTCTCAGGAGAACGTTGAGCGACGGCGCAAGGAGTTTCGAGGCGTGCTGCAACCGGTTCTGGGCAACCCTGTGCGAATGAAGGAGCTGATTCTCGTGCCCACGTACACGTGCCCGCTCAACGAGCGCATCGGGAAATGGGGCGACGGGGGGAAGGTGAGACACATCATGCGGTGGACGGGGAAGGTGGGGAAAGCGGGGGATAAGGCAGCGGCGAAAGGAGTGTAAACGTATTTGTTGAGAGGGGGGACGAGGGTGGGAGGGAAAGGAGGTGGTGATGGAAAAGGGCGGGCTTGGGAGAATGGGATGGGCGTGGGAGAAAGGGCGAGGTATTTCAACACCCCCTTCTCCCTCCTCTCTTCCTTCTCCCTCCTCTCTTCCTTCTCCCTTCCCATGCCTCTCTTCCCATGCTCTATGCCCTTCCAATACCCCCCTGATCATGCTCTTTCCTTATTGGGCCGATGTCTGTTTTTGTACCTTTCTCCCCATGCCAACCCTCCCCATGTCTCCCTCCCCATGCCTCTTTCCCCATGTCTCCTCCGCATTGCTATCTTCTCATGGGTCCCTTCTCACGTCTCCTTCCCATGCCTCGTGCCGACCACAGTGGGCGTGCATGATGCAGTCTGTCATCCAGAAGAAAGACCCAGTCGTGTACAGGTGAGTGGGGCCAGGGAGAGGGTAGTGCATGTGAGGGGGATGAGAGGGCCTTGCAAGTATGTATTCTCAAGTCTCCCTTCTCGCGCCTCCCTTGTTCGCAATCCCCATCTCCATCTTGCTCTTCCGTTTCAATCTGTTTGACAGTGTACCTTTTCATTTATCTGTAGCAGCATTGTTCGCACTGCTCCCTCCCCACTGCATCTCTCCTCCCTCACCGCACCAGCTGCTTTGACGTGTAATTGATAAGGAGATGCACGTAATGCTACAAGATGCCTTTGACCCCTTCACTTTTCCTCCCATACCCATATTCCCCCCCACCCACTTCCATTTCTCCTCACAGCATCGGTAGCTTCGGCATGTACTCATTCGAGAAGGAGATGCACGAAGCGCTGCGCACCATGCCCTACACATTCGACCCCTTCCTTCCCCCTGAGAAGCTCAAGGTCATGACCTCCCTCCCTTTCCTTCACTTCATCGAAATCGGCCTCTCCGGATCCGCCTCCCTCCCCGCCTACCGCTCGAAATTCCCCGCAAAAAAATTCGCGACACTGCCCGAATTGATGGGGCAGTTCGGGCACAGCTACGTGGATGTTTTTAAGATTGACTGCGAGGGGTGCGAGGTGGAGCTAATTAAAGACCTTGGCAAGGAGTATAACAGCACGGATAAGAGGCTGGCGGTGCATGGAGGGAAACTACCTTTCGGGCAGATCCTCATCGAATTCCACAAGTAAGGAGTACTTCTAGTAAGGGGTACTTCTAGTTAGGTTGAAGATTTTCCGTTGCGGCACCCGTTTTCTCAGCGCTTTCTCTCTTGCTGTCTCTTGTCTCGTGCTGTCTTTTGCCTCTTTCAGCTTGCATGTTTTCATGCTTGCATGTTTTCTCCTTCCATGCTGGTACTCTATCGTCTTATGCATGTTCGCAAGAGAACTTAACTTCCTGTTACCCTTCCATCCCCCCTCCTTAACCCAACCTATTTTGCAGTGACCCTAAACGCATGTTACACCTTCTATGTCCCCTGGCCCCCCATCCTCGTTACTCTCTCTCTCTCTCTCTCCCTCCTCTCTCTCTCTCTCTCTCTCTCTCTCTCTCTCTCTCTCTCTCCGTCCCATCTGCAGCATGGACAAGAGTGTGAAGACCCTCGCCATGTTCTACACACTGGAGAACCTCGGGTATCGTCTGTTCAGCATTGAATACAACCACCAGTGTGCCGTGTGCTGTGAGATGAGCTTCATTCACGAGAGCCTTGTGCGCCCAGATAGCGCCACCGATTGCCGCCCGTTCCTGGCACCCCCGCTAGAGGACAAGCTGGAAATGGAGGTGGTGTCTGCTGGTGATGGTGCTGATGCTGCTGCTGCTGCTGCTGCCACAGCCGACTCTGGTGATATAGAAATAACGGATGGTGAGGTGGGTGGTGGTGCCGATGGTGCTGCCAATGCTGATGGTGCTGATGGTTCGAATGGTTCTGCCGCTGCTGCTGCTGACTCTGGTTATGTCGAAACCACGGGAGGTGAAGTGTATGGTGCCGACGGTGCTGCTGTTGCCACTGATGGTTCTGCTGCCGCTACTGCTGGTGGTAAGGAGGTTGAACCTGCTGGTGGTTTGCCTGCGGAACCTGGGAAGTTGGTGGGCTTTGATAAGCCTGCTGGTGGTAAGGAGGCTGATACTGCTGGTGGTTTGCCTGTGGAACCTGGGAAGTTGGTGGGCTTTGATAAGCCAGCTGGTGGCAGGGAGGCCGGGGCTGGTGATGGTTTGCCTGTGGAACCGGGAAAGTTGGTGGGCTTTGATAAGCCAGGGAAGCAGAAGAACGATACAGAGGATACGGAGGAGGAGGGGGAGGAGGTGAGTGAGAAGGTGGGTGGAAACAGGAATGTGAAGGTTGGAGTGGAGGGCAAGGAGGAGGGGAGCAGCAAGAAGAGTAGCAAGGTGAGCGGCAAGGCGAATGTGAAGGGGAACGCCAAGGACAGCACCAAGGCGGGGAAGAAAATGAGCAAGGAGAAGACCAGCGAAAGGAGTAGGAAGGAAATCAAGAAGGATGAAGAGGACGAAGAGGAAGGCTGATTGAGCAGGTAGCAGAGTGAGCGGTGGAAGAGGGGGAGAGGACGAAAGAGCAAGGGGAGGTGGAATGGCAGTGACAGGAGAATCAGCATGAGAGGCAACCTAAAAGAATTGAGGCCATCATCTAAAGGAGAAGGGGGAGAGAAGAGCGCAGACAAGAGTGGGCCATGGAAGCAGGGTCAATAGGATTGGGAGAGAGCCTTTCAGGGCAAATTATAGGAGGGTTACCGGTTGGGCATTAATACACGAACATGGGTTGAGCAGAGCAGATGAAAGAATGGAGTGCGTCAAAGTTGTATTTCATAAATGTTTAGCGTGTAGTGAGATACCCCTTGGGGGTACAACCTTTCGTTCGACACTTGCCTTGTACCCCTCTTTTGACCCAATTCATCTATTCCTTCCTATTATTTTTCACATGGTATCAGGGTAGTTACGGGTAGGTCATTAGGACCGATTTTTTTTTAGGAGCCCCCGTAAGTTCTTTCCCTTCCGTTGCCCCAAAAGCGTGGCTCTTCGAGTTAGGTAGGAATGGTTGACTATCGAGAGGAATGGGTAAAAGTACAAAACCTAGAAATGTGTTGTACCCTATAGGTACTACCCCACTACAGCCTACACCCTAACATATTATATATATAATTTGACACACCCCTATAGGCGAAGTGGGGGAGAACAGAGGGTCACAAGACCAGTCAAGAGATGCAAAGCAAGCTCAGGGTGGATCACAATGTCACCACACACACTGAGCACAAGCAAGCGGCCACAAGGCCAGTTCACATGCAGAAGTATATATGCAACAATAGCATCACAGTGATCACCACCTGTCAAACATATATGCTGCTTATTGTGTAGGCTGTAGTGGGGTAGCCCATATGGGGTACAACCCAAATTAGGGTTTCCTACTTGTACCCACCTTCCTGCTAGTTCATTCATTCCTGCTGCTAGATTCTAACACCACCTAGCAAGAGCAAGCATGCAGGTATATATATAGATCACAGTACAAGCAGAAACTACAGCAAGTGCAAAAAAGTAGGCACAAGCCCTAGTAAAGTACAGAGGCGCTGATGATCACGAGACGTAAGTGCCTTGGTGAATATATCAGCAGTGTTGGCCCGAGTGGCCACGCGAGCAAGACGAAGCTGACCACGCTGCTGCAACTCTCGAGCCAGGAAGTAACGCAGAGCGATGTGCTTCGTTCTGTGCTCCAGTCTGTGCTCCTGACACAAGGCAAAGACAGCCTTGTTGTCGACGTACAGAACAGGAGGAGAACGAGGCCTCTCTCCCAAGTCGGTCAGCAGGTAGGTGAGCCAGCGTAGCTCTTGTGCAGCCATGACTGTGGAGTAGATCTCAGCCTCACAACTGGAGCTGAGAACAGAAGAAGAGCGTGTAGACCGCCAAGAAACAGAGCCAGAGCCAAGGCTGAAGGTGTAACCTTGTGACGACCGCTGCGTAGCCTGGTCGTCAACCCAAGATGCGTCAGAGTGTCCAGTGAGGACAACCTCGGTCCGTCCTCCAAGCATGAGCCCCATGCCCGATGTACTGCACAAGTAGCGCAGTACCCTCTTCGCAGCATCCATGTGCACCTTTCGGTGCCGACCAGGAGCCACGTAGCGAGCCAACAGGCGAAGAGGGTACGTAAGGTCAGGTCGAGTGCAGGTCATCACGTACATGAGGCAGCCCACTAGCTCGGCGTAAGGACCACTCGGCTCTACGGACTCGTTCGAAGGTGGAGCTGAGAGCGAGTGGCCTGTAGCAAGCGGAGTGGACTGTGGTAAGGACCCGGTGAAGCCGAAGCGCTGAAGGACCTGCTGCACCATGTGTGACTGAGTCAGTGTGATGGTGCGGCGTGCTCTGTCCCGGGTGATCTGCAAGCCAAGGTAGCTACGCAGCTCACCCAGGTCAGTGCACGTGTGTCTCTTCTACAGCTCCGACTTCACCTGAGCTAGAGCCTCAGTGTCAGCAGTGGCAAAGACCAAGTCGTCGACGTACACGAGGATGTAGAATGGCGGCAGCGAAGTGTCGGTGCGCAGAAACAGCGATGGGTCAGCAGTCGAAGGAGCAAACCCAAGAGCCGCAAGTGTAGTCCTCAGTGTGTCGTGCCACTCACGAGACGCCTGGCGGAGACCGTAGACTGGCTGCCGGAGGCTCCACTGGGTACCAGGAGGGAACGACCTAGTGAAGCCAGGTGGGCGGCGCAGCCAGATCTCCTCGTGCAGGCTGCCCTGTAAGAAGGCTGTGCTGAAGTCAAGAGAGTGAAGCTCGTAGTCACGTTGAGCGGCAACGTGCAGCAGCACCCGAAGAGTGGTCATATTCGGGGTCATGGAGAAGGTCTGGAAGAAGTCAACTCTCTCACGCTGATTGAAGCCTCTAGCAACATAACGAGCCTTGAAGACAGGCGGAGAACCCGGCGGCCGCTTCACCCTGAAAATCCACATGCCATCGACGATGTTCGCCCCAGGAGGGGGAACCTCGTCGACGTAAGTGCCTGTGGACTTCCAGGATGCCATCTCTGCGTCCATGGCTGTCTGCCACTGAGAGGAGTACTCACCCGCGATCGCCTCAGCGTAAGAGCGCGGGGTCGGGATGTCTGGTGCATCCGGGTCTTCCTCAGGGGCAAGGACCATGGCCACGAGATGAGGTGCAGCGGCTGCAAGACACTCAAGGTCCTCGTGCCTGTCCTCAAGGACGTCCGTGCTAAGAGCACACTCACCCCCGATGGACGGAGGACAGACAGATTCAGACTCAGCAACAAGACTAGCGGCGTAGTCGAGACGACAGGCAGCAGCAAAGTCAACAAGCTCAGCGACTAAGGCAGACGTAGCAGTAGACTCAAACGACGGGTCAGTGACAACAGTGGCTAACAGACGCGTGACAGTAGGGTGTGCAGCACGAAACTCTTCATACTCAGGGTCCGCAACATCAGGCAGAGGGGACGCAGGGGGGATGGTAGAGGAGTACACTGTGGAGCAGAGGAACGACGAAGGGCGACAAGACGCGTGCCGGAGACAGCCGACTTACGCTGACGAGGAACACGACAAACGGTACGACAAGGACGAACAGGCGAGACAGGACGTGACGCAGGCTCACGACGCTCAGCAAGACTCCCTGTCTGCTCAGTGTAAGGAGAAGGAGCAGGCAGTGGTGAGCCAGGCAGTAACTGCAGACCAGTAGAAGACAGGAGGTTAAGAACCTGGCGAAGGGTAGAGCCAGACGGTGGCTGAGACGACGGAGACGGCGGAGCGAAGAAAAGTCGCGTCGGTGCAGTGCTTGCAGCACCAGTAGCCCCAACACCAGCAGCAGCTCCAGTACCCTCAGCAGCGCCAGAACCTCGAGCGCCAGCTCCACCAGCAGCAGCACCCCCAGAACCAGCACCGCGAGTCCGCTCTAGCCTTAGTGTCTCCAGCAGCAGCACCCCCAGAACCGGCACCCCCAGTCCCAGGGTCTCCAGCCTCAGTGTCTCTAGCAGCAGCACCCCCAGAACCGGCACCTCCAGTCCCAGGGTCTCCAGCCTCAGTGTCTCCAGCAGCAACACCCCCAGACGCAGCACCTCCAGCCCCAGCAGCTCCAGTACCTCCAGTACGAGCACCTCCGGGACTAGCCACTCGAGCACCTCCAGTATACAAAGTCCCAGCTCCACTCCGAGCTCCAGTGACAACAGTGGAAGTACCTCCACGAGCGCCAGCAGCGCGACCCTGACAACGACCGTACCAGTCATGCAACTGCTGTGAGGTGCGCGGACAAAGGCGGCCACTTCAAGGAGACGGCACACCAAAAGTCGCAGTACCCTCAGGCGCCGCACCCTCAGACTCAGCACCCCCAGGCTCCTCACGCGCAGGCTCAGTACCCTCAGACGTGGTACCCTCAGGCGCAATACCTCCAGGCTCCTCACGCGCAGGCTCAGTACCCTCAGACTCGGCACCCCCAAGCTCAGCACCTCCATACTCCTCACGCGCAAGCACAGCACCCCCAGACTCCGCACCCCCAGGCTCAGCACCTCCAGGCTCCGCACCCTCAGGCTCCGCACCCCCAAGCTAAGCACCCCCAGAGACAGCACCCGAGCAGGACAACCCCCAGCAAGACCTGAGTCACCAGTGACCTCAACAGGCGCAGGTACGGGAGGGTCTACCTGAGAAACACTTGAAGGAGCAGGACCTGGCGCGGGGAGGGGGTCTACCTGGGTAGGGAGGATCTGGAGCGAGAAAGAGCGGCGGGGGGGGGGGGGGGGGGGCAAGAGGCAGTGCGGTAGGGAAAGAGACGGTAGAAGGGGACAGACTCGTCAAAGGTGACGTCCTGAGACGCAAAGACACGGCGCGAGGTGGGGTCGTAAAACTGCCAGCCAGGCGCGTCAGGAGGAAAACCAAGGAAGACGCAGGGAATGGCGCGAGCAGAGAGCTTGTCCGCGGTGAGATCGCGGACAAAGGCACGAGCACCCCAGACCCGGAAACGCGACGCATCGCCAACCTTTCCCGTCCACAGCAGTGTGGGCGAGGTCTCCGGCAAGGAGACACGGGGCCAGAGGTTGAGCTGATGCGCGGCATACCGGACCGCAAACGGCCACAGAAAATAGGGAGCCGCCGCATGGATCATCGAGGTACGGGCGACCTCCACGACTAAGCCAATGCGGCGCTCAGCAACCCCATTCTGCTGCGGAGAGGCCGAAAGCGTGAATGAGCGAGTGATGCCGTGCTCCGCACGGAAGGCAGCCAAGAGGTCGGAGGAGAACCCACCACCTCTGTCAGAGTGCAGACGCAGGACAGGAAAGTCCCGCTCGAACCGCTCGCAGAGCTAAAGACGCACAGCGCGGATCCAAGGGATCAGGACAGCAGGGACATCCGCCTTGCGTCGCAAGGGGAAGACCGTGGTGTAGCGCGTGTAGTCGTCGACAACCAGCAGGAAGTACCGCTCGCGGCCCTGACCCTGGACGGGGGCTGGGCCCCACACGTCCAGGTGAAGAGTCTGCAGCGGAGCCTCTGTGGGAGGGAACGAGGAGGAGTGAGGAGCGGCGC